GATATCAAGGTAAAATCATACTCCGCATCATCCGAGGTAAATTCTGAACACCTTTTGTTTGCCTTAAAGAACCTAGAAGATGAAGTACAGACCTTGAACATCAAGTACTGCTGTCTCAAGGAAGAAATTATGAAAAAGAACGATGAGATAACTAAACTCAATCGTCTCGTAGATTTACATAAAACTCAAATTGCTGAGTTGTGCGGAGCAAAAGAGTTAATCAAATGGTTTGGGTTAGAACATAGAAATGCTTCTGCTTGTTCGTATGATAACGATCCAGCACATTGTAATGCAAATACAATTAGAAGTCAGCTGCTTCAAGGTAAGCATTACAATGGTCAACCTAATAGATCAAATAACTGCAAAAAATTAGTTCGATGCTATGTTTGTCAAAAACAGGGTCATCTCACTAGAGATTGTTGGTTGCTTCCTTGCTCATCTCCCTATTGGTATCGGAAACCCTCACTCATACAGGTTTGGGTTCGAAAGAAAACTCACATTTGATCTTTCGTTTGTGGGAGCTGAAGGAAGCCTTTGGTTTCTTGTCGGTAGGAGCTCCCATCGCTTGGATAGAAGTTTCCTTCCTGAATTGATGTTTATGTTCCTATATTGTTTTAAAACTCTTGGCATTGAACAGATCCATATCGTTTGCCTGGTCTATGAGTTATGAGTTAATTGACCTTTATAGATGCACTTGATTCTTATTGTAGATTAAATATATATGATTGCAAATTGAGGGGGAGATATTACTCCATGTTGCTGCAATTCTAAATGAGGTTTCTGACTCTTCCCGGTGATTCTGTCTAGCTTGGATGTGATTAGGAGTTTGGATTTGCATGCTTTAGTATGCTTATTTTCAATATTATGTTGGAAATGCATTTTGTGCGTGCTTGCCTTTATTTTCCACTTGTTTTATCTCTTGTAATGGATTCATCATATGAGTGTCGTCATTTAATTGCCTTTTCTCCTTCCCTGTTAGGGATGGCAATGGGTCGGGTTGGGGCAGGTTTGGGTTTGACAAAACCCGCCCCAACCCAACTCAAACCCAACCCAACTCGTTGGGTATCCACGGGTTCATGGGTATCCGTGGGTTTTTGTGGTAAAAAATTTACAATAACAAATTTCTTTCAAAATAAAAGTTTAACATCAATTTTCTCATACAAAAAATACCAATCTAGAGCATACAAGCAAACCGCAAATGATCAATACAAATTGTTCAAAATTAAAGATAAACATCTATAAACAATAAGATTAATTGAAAGTTTCTTCCTCTTCAACTAAGTTTCTTCGCTCTCCACTTCATAATATCAACTTCATTCTAAAGAATTAGAAAGAACAAATTCTACATGTCTCCACAAACATAAAGAATATTAGTTGTTTAAGAAAGATATATTATTTAGAATATTAAATATACCGAAAAAATAATTAAATGTGTGTGGGCGGGTACCCATGGGGCGAATTTACCTAAGCCCAAACCCAACCCGACCCAGTGAATAGTGTATCGGGTTTAAACCCGAACCCGGCCCAAACCCCATCAACACGGGTTTTACCCGCGTTGACCGGGTTGGATCGGGCGGGTACCCATGGGTTCGGGTTTTGTTGCCATCCCTATTCCCTGTAGCTCTTGTGATTGGATTGGATTGGATGATGCTTGCTTTCAGGGGGAGAACATAGACTAGAATTTCTCCTGTTTATGACTATAGACGGGTTTGGATGGTGATTTTTGGGTTTCGATATGTGCATGCTTTAGTACTCATTCATTTCAATAGAATATTGGGAATTGCATTTGGACTTGTGTTGCAGCTATCAATTCGCAATCTCTGATTTAGGGGGAGATTGTTGGACGAATTTGGAAAGATAAAAAATCAGAATTGCGAATCAATTATGCAAGATTGTTTGGCTGTAATGCAGAAATTGACTCGGCCACAAATGGAAAGCAGGAATCAAGCGAGTGATACTTGGAAGGTTGTCAAATCTGCTGTATCTTCTCAAACGGCTACTTGGATGCTCCTTGAGTCTATATATATTAGTTCTTTTCCTTGTGCTTAGCAACTGAGTAAGGAGCGGTACAGGGCTATCAACTTAGTGGGTTAATCAGAACAGAGGCATAGGATCTGTTTGATTGACGGTGTAACGGGTCTGGTTTGGGATCCGGGTTTTGCTGTTCAGAGTTTCTTTTCAATTTCTCGAGTCCGTTTATGTCTTGTGTCTTTGATCGATTGCTTGATAGGGAAAACTAAATAAAAAAGAGTCTCCTAGAAATCAGTGGGTACTGATTCTAGGACGAGGACTGACCCGTAGTTTGGGGAACCTCGTTAAATTTGGTGTGTCATTTTCATTCTGTCTATCATTGTTTGTTTTCTTCCTCTGCTCTGTTTTCTTTCTGGGTTTCGAAACAAGAACATGTGCTTTTAATTTCATATCCTGCATATCATTTAAAAAGTTGGGCTTAATGGCCTAAAGTCCGTTCTTTTATTTCATTTCACTGTTAAACGTTTTTGGGCCTTTGCTTCACTTTTGGGCCATTTAGTTGAGATAAGAAAGACGATCAAAAGTTGAAGGAAAAGAAAAACTCTTTCCCATCGTCTTCTCCATCTCATCTCTGTTTCTCAACCTTCCCTTCCCTTTTGTTTACAAACTGTAATCCCTAATTCCAGCCTGTATTCCTATTTCATCGTCTCTAAGAAACATTTTCATTTTCATAAGTGACGGATTAAAATGCCATAGCAAAATCTCCCCAATCAATTTTCTGAACCCAAGAGATAGTTCAATCTATCCCATTTATACTCGGTTTTTAAAATCCATTCATATGTTTGGCCCGACTTTTAAATGTATGTTTTTAGTTTCAAAAGATGAAGTATGGCCAAACACTTCTAAAAACTTGGCTTTTAAAAAGCTGAAAAGTGTTTTTGTATAACATAGCAAAAAGCTCTTTTAAAAATTCAAGATTATACTTATCATATTTTATTTTTATTTCAGAAACTATAATTTTTTTTAATTTATATTATTTTAAAAATAAAATGAATTATAAGATCATTATTTAATATAAAATAAATCTAACAAGATCCATTTTGACTATTTTTTATTATTTAGAATTTATATTTATATTTTCCATTATAAATCCTTTTTAGTCATTTTACCTAACATAAGCACTTCTAAAAAATTTCAGCCAAATATACTTCGGTTGATTGGTCTGAAGGCTTCTATCCTAATTCAGCTAGAATAATCAAGGAACTCCAGAGAGCTCCTCAGCGAGAGAGGATTTTTAAATTTTGACTTAAATGGCTTCATAAAGGGAAAATATAAAATATGGCTTACTTTCAAGTGGTCACCTCTGCTAGGCAATAGACATCAAGGCAATATTATTAGAGGCGTGGAAGAAGTCGATAGGCCAAACTTGTTATTCTCGATACCCAAGTTTGTTGCCCATAATACGAATCTGTCGTCTCTTATTTAATCAAATGAAATTCACAAGGGCATGTTTGCTATGGAAGATTCACAAGCACTAGGGTAAGAAGGGTTGAGAGATTTTTCCAGAAATAGCACTGTTTAAAAAAAAATTTCCAAAAATAGCACCCAACTCCGAAAAATTCCAAAAATAGCACCATTTTTGTAAAACCGCAACCCGGAGGTGCATTTTTCGATGAAAACGCCACCCGAGAGCGCGTTTTTCGATGAAAACCGCACTGGTAGGGAGCAGTTTTGCAAACCGCACCCCCAGGGTGCGATATGGCTTTTTTTTTTTTTTTTGCAAACCGCACCCCCAGGGTGCGATCTGCCTTTTTTTTTTTTTTGAAAATCCTAATTTAGGTGGAAACTTCAAACGAACGTATTTTTATGTTCGGGTATCCGATCGTCGCAATTTTTTTTTGATTCCGCATAACTTTTTGAGATGTCGTTTGCTACCCCGAACGAGCTTTTTTCCGATTTCGTCAAACTTTGGACAACCGTAACGGCATGATTTTTTTTATTTCGCTTAACTTTTTAAGGACTATAATTTTTACTAGGAATGTATTTTCAAAACAGGAATTATTTTTGGATATACAGGATTTTGGGAATAGCTTATCTTCCCTTCTCAGCAATCCACATACATTTTGAAATTATGTCTATGATAAAAGTTGTATTCCTTAATAATTTATGTGAAATAAAAAAAAAAAATTCATGTCGTTTGGATTTTGGAGCACAAAGTTATGATTGTCCAAAGTTTGACGAAATCATAAAAAAGTTCGTTCAGGGTAGCAAACGACATTTTTTGGGACGAAGGCGAGACCAAACCACCTTTGGCAGTCTTCGGCTTGCAAGATCTAAAAAAGTTATGCGGAATCAACAAAAAAAATCGCGACGATCGGATACCCGAACATAAAGATACGTTCGTTTGAAGTTTCCACCTAAATTAGGATTTTTCAAAAAAAAAAAAAAAAAGGCAGATTGCACCCTGGGGGTGCGGTTTGCAAAAAAAAAAAAAAAAAAAAAGACAGATCGCACCCTGGGGGTGCGGTTTGCAAAACCGCTCCCTACCAGTGCGGTTTTCATCGAAAAACGCGCCCTCGGGTGGCGTTTTCATCGAAAAACGCACCTCCGGGTTGCGGTTTTACAAAAATGGTGCTATTTTTGGAATTTTTCGGAGTTGGGTGCTATTTTTGGAATTTTTTTTTTAAACAGTGCTATTTCTGAAAAAATCTCAAGGGTTGACCCCATGTTTGTACATGCTCAACAGTTTTTCCTTACTTGGGCTTAGAGAGGGGGCCGAGAGCGATTTTTGTTGCTATTTTTAGTTTTACGGATGGTTTCTTCAGACTAATTACGCAATAAGTTACCCCTGGTTTCTTTCAAAGGATTCGCATTAGGTGAACTTAACCTATTGTGTCTCATCTTTGCTATGTCGATAACTCATGTATTTTTGTAGGGCTTGTTTGAGTATCACAAAATATTTTTGTCCATTCTTTTACGTCTAAAAGCATCCACATCGATGTAATTGCAGAATTAAAATTATATAAGATGTTCTTATTGTCATCAAAATAATTTGTGCAATCTAAGTCATTAATCTCACATCTCCATATCATCTCGTAATTGAAAATGCAATATCAATATGGATGCAGCTAAGCAATTTTCAAAATAATTCCAACAATTTCAGTTACAAGACATAAGAAATCCTAAAAGGAAACGAAAGCAGTTTCACAACAACACCAGCAGGCAGCATATCTCTTCCTGCTGCCAGTCAAAGCTATTCCACCAAACCATAAACTGCAACTTCATTAAGAAATGGTGATCATCTTGATGGACTGGAAGGCATTGGGAGTTGCAGAGGTAGAAAATATATCAGAGACTACAAGAACGGAACATCCTCGTTTCACCATCCCCTTTGTTTTCAGTAGTTGAGTGGTTTTCAAGACGTTGGCTTCCATGTCTTCTGATAAATTATCAACAAGAACTGGGATGACCCCCCACTGCAAATTCAAGCCCATCCTGACACTGCGGTCGTTGGTGAATGCAAATATTGGAGGATTTGGTCGGTTCCGAGACAGCAGTGATGCCATCTCTCCGTGCTTTGTGTACACAAATATGGCATCCACCCCAAGGTTATTAGCTGCAAGTTTAGGGAAAGATAAAACACAGAAAGAAAACCAAAGTCATTGACTAAGGACTGCTTATAATAAACTGGCAGTTGTTTCAGAATTCAAGTCTTTTAGTACCCATTTCAACAGCAGAGTTGCATATTGCTTCCGCAATTCGGTCTGCCAATGAAGCTCCAAGTTTTTTATAGGAATAGAGAGCAGAAGCTTGTTGATGTTCCTCACGGGTCCACAGCTCCATCCGGCTACTCACCATCTTTAAGACCGACACTGCCTTTTGACCATTTGAGCCAATGGCGGATTCACCAGATAACATCAGTGCATCCGCATACTGTCTCACTACTTCGGTAACGTCAGCAACCTTTTTCGGAAATTAAGAAATAAACGTCAGTCTCTAGTATCTCTCACCCAGCACCACAGCATGATTTACTGCATAGTGGGACTCAAGATGGTCTGACCTCGGCTCGTGTCGGGGTTGGATATTCGATCATTGATTCCAAAAGTTGAGAAGCTATAATGACTGGTTTGTTTAGCTGCCTACATATGCGAGTTATCTCTTCCTGGACTGTCGGAATCTGTTCAATTGGAACCTCAACCCCTAGGTCTCCACGAGCCACCATGATTCCATCTGATGCCTCTACGATTTCTTCCAAATTTTGAAGAGATTCCAGGGTCTCGACCTTTGCCAACACTTTCACCGATCTGCACGTTTAATTAAATTTAACTTGAGAAGCAATGTTTTTGAGTTTATGAAACCCAGCTAAGCTCCTCAATGCCGTGATCAGAAGCTACCCTACTTACTGAAATATTAGCAGCCTCAAATTTTATAAAGCAAAGAGTTCAGAAATGAGGAGAATCGGAAAACATACTGAAATGAAGTTAACTACATCGTGGTGTTGAAGGTTAATGTGAACTTTCTTACTTGGATGAGCTGGTAGAGAGATAGTTCTTTAGTTGCTTGATAGAATCGGCATCACTAACAAATGACACCGCAATGAAATCTATACCTTCAGAGACTCCAAAATCAATGTCTTCCCAGTCCTGTAGATTACATTACCCAGATAACTCAGACTAGATGTCAGACTAGATGTCTCCAAAAATGAGAGTTCTTTTTCTGCTATTGACAATCTGAAACAACTAAGACCACAACTAGATAACAGTCATATTCTTCACAAACAGCTGAGTAATGCGATTCAACTCCAGAGTTGGACTAGTATGATTAACTCAGTATTAGAAGCAGTCAGCTTGGAGATCCACAAACCTTTCTTTAGAGCTCAAAAAATAAGGAACATACAATAGTAGAAAAATGTTCTGTTTAGATGATTAGCGTGCTAGCAAGCGCGTTCCAACAATATTTCTGTGGCTCCTGATATGAAGATTGCATGATAAGCAACTACTCAGATCCTCTTATTCAAATACATGAACAGATCAATGAATGCAGCAAAGGAACTTTGTGTTACCCGAAAGGTGAATTCTACCCATTTCTCTCGAAGGGTTCCAATGAGAAATTGGAAACCATGCATTTGGATAGAGCAAGGGATCTGTCCTGGAACAATTTTCAACCCTTGCAGGTCGTTTTTTTTTTTTTTTTTTTTACAGTGTGCATGTAAAGTATTTAGGACAAAACTTGGAATCTCAGAGGGAACATTGGCCATATTTCTGGTAAAAAGCGGAGTTCTGTGGAGGTGGAAATTGTCCACTGGAACTTTATCAATCTGAGAATTCTTCCTCAATCACAATGAATTGCTATGCTAACCAGAAAACCCAACCCACAAACTGACCTTTTTAGACAAAGTTGGCAGGCCGTGGTAGGAAAGCTTGCCATTTCTCCAGAAGCTCATTTTGGCGCGAGGCAAGAGGAGACCTGGATCAGTGCACTTGCAGCGTAGGTCATCTCCCATTTTCTCAACAACCACAAAGCTTGCCATTCCACCATCAATAACAAGTTCATCACCAACCATAATTCCTGTAGCATCATTTCACTCGTTTAACACTTGGCAAATGGAAAACATTAGACAGCGCAAGTAAAAGTATGGACAAAACGTAAGTCCACCTTGAGAGAACCCTTCAAAATTTGCTCTGACTGTAAAGGGACGGGAGCCTTCAAACTTCTGGCTGGTAAATACCCAAACTGAGCCTTCCTACACGTCAATACAATAATCCAGCTCATCATTAACCTTTTTCAAACAACGGGAGTTAAACAAACTGATGAGAAACCTCTTTTCAAGCCTAAACGAGGGGGAAAACGAATCTAAGTCACCAAGTGTTTAATCTAATTGAAGCAATATACACGAACCAGAAAATGTAGGAGGGAAGTTCTAGAATCTTATAACTACCTCAGCTTTGAGAGAGGAAGGAGCTCCATGATCCACAACATGAATCTGGCTCCCTTCGGTGTCAATCATCACCGAGACAGAAAACCCCTTTTGTTCGTTCAACTTCTTGATCTTGGCAATCACATCCCGATGCCAGTCTCTGCTGTTATGGCACATATTCAGGCGTGCCACATTCATCCCACCCGCCGCCAATCGCTCCAATTCCAGCAACGAGCAACATGCTGGCCCTATCGTGCACACCAGCTTCGTCTTCCTCATCCCTGAAAACCCTTCTCCCCTCAGCACCTCCTCCGCCACTGTGTCAATTGCCATCCCGAAATTCGGCTCCTGCCCACTCAAGCTCTGAACTCTAGCTGCCTCCGCCACTGCCCGAACTCCAGCTAACCTCAACCTAGAATCCACTTGTCGCTTCCTTCCAGCCCAAGAAATAGCGCCGCTGGTAACTGGAACACCCAAGAACCGACTCTTCATCGGACCAGAAAAAAGGGTGGGCTGCTTTGCGACTTCGTTTCCAAATCTGAGAAGCACAGACTCGCTAGCCGCCGCCATTGTGTTTCGCTGGGGCAAATAAAAAAGACGCGATGTTGGTTTGGATCAAGAACTATAAAGGTTAATTAGGAATCCAAGAACGGGACGGAATTTTCTATGTGGTCGGAGAGTTGCGATCGAAAAGTCCGAAGAAGGGACTATGGAGGCCTTTCAAGGTTGAAAGAACGGAGTTTACAAGAGCGACATTGTCGAAAGAGTCGACAAGGCAGGGGAATTTAAAGATTCGCCTGCTGGCTGCTGAGCTGAACGATGGAGCAGCTTAATTACTTATTTTACTTGGGCCAAAACCACAATCATAATTGCAGATCAAAATAATAGATTACTCTAAGTGGGGGAGATTTAAATTAAAGAAATTTGAAAAATAAAAAGAAACGGCAAGTGTGTTTTGGCGGGTTGGACTTTGGAGACGGAGAGTTGAGTTAACGCCTAACGATCAACTACATATGGGTGTCAATTAAGCAGGTTCGGGTTCCAACGGGTTGAGCGTTCATCGGGTTGCTGGTTGATCGGGTTCGGGTTCTTCGTATTCGGGTTCAAACGGGTTGTGGGTTAGTCGGGTTGCGGGTTGTTCGGGTCAGCGTACCGAGTAACTTACTCGTTACCAACTTACACATTTTATTACACTAACTTAAAATATTTTTCTCAAATTTTAACCAATTTTTTTATACCTAGTATATATACTTAATTTTAAAAAAACTAGTCAAAATGTTAAATTAATTTATATGACTTGCAAACTTGTTATGTAATTAATCGTAATTGGTAAAGTCCGCTAGCTAATAGTAATGCTTATATCAACATTTGCAACCAAAAGACAACATTAATTATTTATTTGGTATTTTAATATTATTTCAGTAGTAATTGGATTAAACCATCTCGTTTAGTATAACCATGCAAATCTGGTATTTGGTGAACTGTGTGGTATTTGGCAAAAGTATAGTGGTAAAAGGAGTTATTTCGAAATAACTCATTGCCCTAATAACTTCAATAAACTGTTGCCAAATGAGTTATTTGATCAAATTTACTAAAATTGTTGTGACTTCAATCATAACTTACTCAATAACATATATCCTATAAACTTAGTCTTACTATCAATTGATAATATTAAGCTAATATATGTTGTTGATCGTATACCCTAAACCATTAATATATTATACACTAACAACATACCCTATATCCTAACCATATATCCCTATGAGTTGTGATTTTGCTAGTATAATTAATTTAAAGTGAAATTCATACTTTGATTTTCGAAACATAGATAAAAAGTGATATTTGCTATACCCTAACCATATATCCTATACTCTACACCATATACCATGTACCCTAACCACGTACCATAAACATAAATTAAAAAGGGATCTCCTGCCGTTAAAAATTTTAAATGACTTCAAGTGAACATATGTTAATAAAAAACTTAGAACCGTCAAAACCATCAATGCCTTATATCCTAACCATATACACACTAAACCATCTGTATCTTATACACTATACCCTAGCCATATACTTTATACCCTAAACAACGAACTGTAAAAAATAACTTATCAAGTTTAGTATAATTGTTGGCTCATATTCACCCACCATAAATTTTCCATTCCAAAATTCCCATCCAAACCTCCCTCTCATTTTCCATTCCAAAGTGACCCGCAACCCGATTAACCAAAATTTTCAAACCCGCGCCCCGACTGAGTTATTGCAATCGTAAGACTTAAAATGCCAAGTTTAACACCCATTTTAAAATGAAAGTTCAACTTGAACACAACTTTAATGTGCAAAAATTTGATAAGTGTTGTAAAATAACGATCATGTAGTGTTGAAATTGCAACAAATGTAGAGGTATAGAAAACAAGTAGAGAAAGTAAGTAAATTTTTCTAAAATAAATGATTATTGTAAATACCGAATTTGTTTTATTCTTTCTTTTTCACAAAAAAAAAATTAAAATAATAAAATTCTCCTCCTTCTTTCTCCTTCCAGAAATTAGAAACACTCAATTTTTCCTCCTCTTTCTCTTCCATAAAATTGAAATAACCAAATTTCCCTACTCTTTCTCTTCCATTTGAAGAACCAAATTTCCCTCTTCCTTTCTTCCTTTCACAAAAAGTTGAAAACTCAAAGTTTCCCTCCTTATTTTCTTTCATAATCAAAAGAACCAACTTTTCCCCCTTATTCACTTCCCACAAATCAAAACCAACAAAATTCTCCTTTTTCTTTTCTAAAAAATTCAAAAAACCGATGAGGAAAATTCGGGTCCTTCCTCTCTCTTCTCTCTCTTCTCTCTGACTTTCTGAACCCTAATTGCGCGATGGCGGCCGTCGCTGACGGTGAGGCTGCCGTCGGCGACGGTCGACAGTGGGCATCACTCTTTGGAGTCCCGGAGGATAATCGGCTTGACTACTACGAACCGGAGTTTGTGAATGGTTCGCTACGGATTCCACGGGAGGTTGTTGAGGAAGGGGCAAAGCGTTGGGGGAATTGTTTAGTTGGGCAGTTCATTGATCGGCCGGCTTCGATCTCATCGATTCGGTACTGGGCTAACTGGTTGTGGGGCAAGGAAGGTGTGGTCAAGGCTTCTTGGATGGGTAGAAGGCTGGTGCTGTTTCAGTTCCCGTCGGCTGAGATATGTCAGTGGGTATTCGAAACGGGACCCTGGCATCACAGAGAAAATCTCTTGTTTCTTCGGAAGTGGGAGCCTGGGATTAGCCCTCTGAAAATTGACAACACTGCACTACCACTATGGATTAAGCTCTCCAATCTGCCAACGGAATTAACATTGAAGGAAGGATTAGGAAGAGTGGCAAGTTCGCTGGGGAAACCGCTATGTATGGATAAATCTACAACCCAGGGTCGCAAAGTAGGGTTTGCTCAAATCTGTGTTGAGGTTAAGGCTACTGCTAAGAAGATTACGAAGTTGAGTGTCACGCCTGATGGTTTGCCAGAGCTCTTTATTGATGTGGTGTATTGCCATATGCCAAAGGTATGTGAGAAGTGTGGTTGCTTTGGGCATAGCTGTACTAAAATGGAGGAAGAGCCGCAGAAAGTATGGGTGAAGCAGAATCCATTAATAGGTGAGGATCCTTCTAAGCAGGCTTCGGTGGAGGTCCATGAAGGGGAGTGTTCGAATTTTTCTACTGAAGTTGAGGGAGAAGTACCTCTGAATGAGGAGAAAGAGGTGGAAGCAGAGATACTAGAGCACAGGGCAGGGAAAGAGACTATCACAATGGGTGCTCAAACCCCTTCTTCTATGAGTGGGTTGGTGGACAAGGATGGTTTCACCCTAGTTGTTAACAGGAAGCAGAAGCAGAAGATATGGATTGATCCAGGATCTAGTAGTAATGGGATTCGAGGTTATGCTGACAAAAGTTCAGGGGGCTTGCACCGTGTCAATACTACATCTAATCCTCGGCCAGTTTTGAATTGCCCTCCATCTCCTCCTAAAGGGAGAGGTAGGGGGAGGAAGCGAGGTAAATGAAGTTGCTAAGTTGGAATGTCAGGGGATTCAATTCCTCTGACAAGCACTCAGCTGTTCTTGAGCAGTTGAGGCTGAGAAAGATTGACATTGTAGGGTTATTGGAAACCAGAGTTACTAAAGAAAATAGTAAGAAAATAATAGATAGTGTTTTTTCTGCTTGGAAACATACTGATAACTATGATAGTTCTAAATCAGGTAGAGTTTGGTTATTCTGGAGGGCAGGTCTGAAAGTTACTCGGGTAAATGAAGGGGAACACTATATCCAGATTATGGTAGAGGATACAGCACCATTTATAGTTGTCTTTGTTTACAGTCCAAATAGAGAAGTGGAAAGGAAGAGTCTCTATCAGGAGTTATTACTTAGAAGAAATGCAACCATTCCTATGGTGTTCATGGGGGACTTCAATACCATTGCGGAGATTAATGAGACTTCAAAAGCACAGGAGATCACTCAAAGTATGCAGGATTTCAGGGGTTGGATAAAGGATATGGAGTTGGTTGATCACAAGGTATCAGGAAATTGGTTTACTTGGTGGAATAAACAACAGGCTAATCCTATAGCTCGTAGGATTGATAGGGTGTTGGTTAATGAGGCATGGTTGGAGAAGATTAAGGATAGCTCATCTTACACAAATCCGCCTGGTATTTCAGATCATTGTGGCTTGATCCTGGACACTAATCCTGGGCTGAAAACTCTTCCAAAATCGTTCAAATACTTCACTTTTTGGCAGGGTCACCCAAATTATATGCAACTAGTTGAGCAAGCTTGGCAAAGGAAGGTGGAGGGGTATCCTTCATATATTTTCTATGGTAAGCTCCATTGTGTTAGGCAGGCCCTGAAACAATTAAATAGAACTGTTTATTCAGACATTTCTGCCAGAGTGAAGGGTGCAGCAGTGGAACTGGAGGCTGCTCAGAATGAAGTTCTTCTAAATCCTAATGCAGAATCAGTGGCCAAGGAAAAACAGGTGTGTATGGAGTACCTTGAGTTGAGAAAGGCAGAAGAGCAGTTTTACAGGCAGAAGGCTAGAACTCAAGCTATACAGGAGGGGGACTCGAATACTGCTTATTTTCATAAGACTGTAAAAATTAAAGCTCAGAGGCAGCAGATTACTCGTATGCAGAATGACAGAGGTGAAATTAAAACTGATGTGCAGAGTATTGGTAAGATTGCAGTGGAGTTTTATGAGCAGCTGATTGGGGCTGAGGATTCTAATGTGGAGGTTAAAGATGAGTCTTACTACCAGGGTTTAATTCAGCACAGGCTATCTGAGGATGAGCAGAATGAATTGTTGAGAGGTATTACAAGAGCAGAGATAAAGCAAACCTTTCTTTCACTTGCCAGGGATAAAGCCCCAGGGCCAGATGGTTTCCCTGCAGAATTTTATAAAGCTCATTGGTCTCTTATTGGCACTGAAGTTGAAGAGGTAGTTCTTTCTTTCTTGTCTACTGGTTTTATGCCATCTACTGTGAATAGCACCATTTTTACTCTGGTAGCCAAAATTCCCAGCTCTGAAAAGATGAAGGATTATAGGCCCATAGCTTGTTGTAATACCTTGTATAAGGGTATTTCAAAACTGTTAGCTAATAGGCTAGCCCTAGTTCTTCCCAGTGTGATAAGTAGATCTCAATCTGCTTTATCAAGGGGAGGTCTATTAGTGATAATATTCTACTGGTGTCAGAATTGGTTAGAAATTATCATAGAAAGAATATAACTCCCAGATGTGTGGTGAAGATAGATATAATGAAGGCATTTGAT